TATATATATATATATATATATGCATATGCAAATGTGGTGAAGAAACTTATACACATCTCTTTTTTTATTGTTCTTTCTCCCAAGCTGTCTGAATAATGATTAAGAGACATTATCATGTAAATTGGCCGCATATATTCATTATGGAAGATTTTTTGGCTACTTGGAAATATTCACATAATCATGATAAAAAGCTTGCTTACTTTCCTTTAGTTGTTTTATGATTTATATGGTCTGCTAGAAACACCCACAAACATGCAAACTCTCCACCCAATCCTTCCCTCACTGTGTCTCATATACTATCACACTATTTTAAAGCTTCCTGTAATTTATGTACTGCACTACCTGTTTCTGTTATGGACAACCCCCTACCCATGGTTGGATTAAGGTCAATATTGATGGGAGTTGGACTCCAAATGCAGTTGGTTTGGGAGGTGTTTTTAGAAATTATATAGGTAAGTTGCTTTGCTTCTTTGCTTCACCAATTTATGCTCAAAGCCCTATTAAAGCTGAATATTGGGTTGTTCTGTTTGCTATACAAATTGTGGTGATCTTTACATTTCCCAAGCTAATCATTGAAGAAGATTCTATGATTTTATATAATATGTTGACAAAGTTCACTAAACTCATGTGGAATTTAGTTTGTCACTTCAATCGAATTTGGCATCTTATCTCTTCTAATCAGCTCCAGGTTCAGAGTACTTTTATTCACAGGGAGGGCAATGTCCCGACTGATTGCTTGGCTAAGAGAGGCATTGTTGGGGTCTCTGTGGGTTTGCAACCCCACTCCCTTTAAAGAGACTTCTGCTTAGGGATAATCTAGATACATACCTCTTTTATCAGACTTTGATGCTTTGATGTTTCCTTCGTTGTCTGGTATCGTTTTTCAGGCTCCCTATACTGATTATTATGCTTGTCTGCTGGGATACACCCTTGGATATGAACTGTGTTTGTTGTTGTCATTTGGAGGATCTCTTTCAACTGTTTTTTGCTACAAGGATTTTATTTCCTGCTACATGGTGTTGTCTTTGTTCTTTACTGTTGCTGTGAGTTTTTAAAGATTGAGGCTTCTCTGTTTACAGGAATAAATGCCTGAAGCAGCTCTTGGCTTTAGATTTTCTGAACAATTTCTTTGGTTTTGAGTTTATACATTTTGGGTATACGACCTCCCGTAATTTGTTTTCATTGTGTGTGTGTGTGTGTGTGTGTGTGTGTGTGTGTGTGTGTGTGTGTGTGTGTGTGTGTGTGTGTGTGTGTGTGTGTGTTTGTTTGTGTGTGTGTGTGTGTGTGTATTGTTTTCATCATGTATAGGTCAGTTTTTGCATGAGTTTGTTTTGGACTGCCACCGATGTTTGAGGTTTTCACTTCTAAGGCTGTATACAAGGGTCGAGTGGTATCCCGACAAAATCTTGCTCCTAGGATGGTGATTTTTCTTTCTTCTACCCCTCCACATCCTTTCAACACAGCATTCAACCACCCCTTCCTTGTCGCAGCTGCCTACAATATCGCTTCTTTGTTGTTTACCTGCAAGTCCAGCTACTATCTCTTTTCCAACTTGCTTTCACTCCCAAAAACTCACTTCAACAACTCTCATATCTTATCCCATCACACGAGAACAACCGCTCATTGTTGTTCCTACCACCCCAGCAGCTACTGCTCCCTCTCCTTGCTATCACCAACCCCAAACGACCAAACCCTTTGTTGTCATTCCTACTTGCTTCTTGCTACTTGCTTGTTGTCCAGAACCTCATAAACATCCGCCTTGTTGTTCATGCTTGCCTACTACCACTTTCCACCACCTAACTATCTTCTAGACCTTCACCACTTACCTCCACCACCCCTTTGATCTAACCCTAGTAGGAGTTGGTGACGTGTTTGTTGCAATTTTATATATTTTTTGTGTAGTTGTAAGTTCCTATTTGATTTTTGAAATAATATTTGCTTCTCCTATTGATGTTTAGTTAACTCCAATATCACAAGGTCCGTACTTTTGAAAACTTCTGTGAGTTTCACAAGAAGCATCACTAGGTTTCACTCGATCTTTGAAGAAGTGGATCCGGTAGATACCTTCACAGTGATGACCCCTGGGTCTTTTACCATGAGTGTTATTGTATTTGTCGAAATTTTTCTTCAAACAAAGCATATGTAAGAGAGAAAGTGACAAGCAACTTAAGATAAAATTGATAACAAAAGTTGGCTGGGTAGAAATTCAACAAGAAAATATTTCTTCATTTATATGCCTCATATCTATTAGATCGATGAAATGTAATTTTTTTCTTATTATTTAAGACAAGAAACTTGTGTGCTATAAATTTCTATTTTAATTCAGAAGGAGCTAACCTCACATCATCAATAAGAACACTTTCATTCATATTTCTTATATAAATTCCATTATCTAATTGTTCTTTTAAAATCTAACACTATAAAATAAACTATATTTACATTTCATTTATATACTTGAAGAAAATCCCAGTCCACGACATATCCCTATTTTTTAATATTTTGTTTCTTCAATTTTGAAACTTCTCCAGGCTCATCTACTTTTACATCTTATGATTTTGACATCCTAATTTCTTATTTTATTACGCCTCCAGGGCTCCCTATTGGTGAAAAAAATATTGTGTTCGGAGTTCAGACATAATACTACATCTGGATAACGGATGCGATGCACCAGACATAGTGCAGGAGAAAAAAAAAAAATCTCCTTCGGTGTCTCCGTCCGAAATCTAAACACAATATTTTTTTGCTATTGGAGCTCTTTTTTATTTTCCTGAATTTGCTATAATTTGCTCTGTAGAGAACAATATTTTAAAGCCTTTAAACAATTACGTTTGCTAGAATTATGCTCATACTACATTTTAATTATAATATGTGAAATAAATTATAAAGTATTCACTAATTAAATTAGTTTGTTCTTAGTTTAGTCCTACTATTATACAAGTTAAAATTGAAATCATGAAAGAAAATAGAAAAAAAAAAGACGAAATTATGCGTCAGTTTTCAACCACCAAATTTTCCCAAGAAATATAGATGCCGAAGTTAAAATGTACTAATTATTTTTTTTTAATGGTCTGGTGGACAAAATAATAATTTTTGACTTATTGTTGGCATTTTAGAGGAAGAAGACAGAAGATGAGTTTATCTCTGCTTTCACTCTACTGCTCCTCAGCCTATATCGTCGTCTCTTTGGCCGCATCTGCGTCCAGTGCGAGAGTTGCTCGGCATCCCTTTCGTAACAAGAAGGCGAAGTACGTATCCTTGGTTCTAATGGAAGACCGCGAAGCCAAGCCTATCGATCTGGTGGGAGGATTCTTGGCGAAGAAGCCCTACAGTCCTCCCTCCTGGGCCTCCCATCTCAATCCCATTCCTTCCCACATATACTCTCTGGGACATGTGAGCCAATCTTTCATCCATTGTGTTTCTGCTGATGTTTTTCGTGATTTGGAGATTAGATTACAAGTTATTCATTCGGAGATTGATAATTCAGATAGCTAATCAAAATTTTATTTTTGCTATCTGGAGAGGTTACAAGCTAATCCCTCCAAAGTCAAAAAAGAGCTATCTCTGTACAAAGGGATGATGGATTATGATTAAGGTAGATTACTCGGACGTAATTAGATTATTAGGATGAGCTAAACTTTTAGACTATCTGTTAGAGTCAGATACTAAAAGCATATTTGGTTTTTCACATAATGTGAGCATACGGACTCTGAGCGTAAGGGTATGCCATTTACTTGTTAAACTAATGCAAAATAATCTGGGAGTGTCTTCTGAACTGTTATGGTGCTTCGATATCTGCATAGAAATTGTTGAAAACGCACAAAAAGAGCTGCCCAATATCTTCATAAGAATGCCTTAGCTAAATAAATAAAGGAAATATGTTTTAGATTATCAATTGCCGAGTAATTGCACACCTTAGCAGTATGTGTGCTATGATTTTCTTAATCATAGGGTGATTGTCTACCTGAGCAATATGTCCATACTCGTGCTGTCTCTTTTCATTACAATTATGCATTTTTTTTATTCATTAATTTTAGAATTAATAATTTGTTGTTCAGCACCTAGTTTGAAGCAAGGAATAAAATTCAAGATTTTTTGTCTTATTTTCTCCTATTTTTAGAAGTATTAGAGTTGAACATGGTTTTGAAAGTTTTTACAATGTAAGCCTAGAAATCCATCTCAAAACTCTAAACCACAAATAACATAAAACTAAAATATTGAAACTTGACATCTCCAACTATCGTGATTTTGTCCAATCGATGCCAACCCCGCTATAACTTGACTAGGTCCTTGCTATTAAACTTATCCCATCCTCCATTTGATGTTCCTCCCTAGAAACTCTGATTTGAACCATGCATTGTCATTATAGTTCAGATTCAATCAAATTAAACTTTGATACGTGTTCTTGGTTCCATATTGGCTATTTTTGCGCCACAAAGTTTTATCAACTAGATCCGTCAATTGCACACCCAAATCTATCCTCCTATCCCCTAGTAAGTATTTAATAACCCCCTCAACTGTGGATTCAAAAACATTGGAAAACTCACTTGCACCCACCTTCATTGTCCTGAGTTGGCACCAATAGCCTTTTCTCATTGCCGATTGGTTCATTATTTTGACTTCTTGAAAGATAGAAAAATAAGAAAGAGAAAAAAAGAGTGAAAACATTTAATACTCTGAAATCAAACATATTCCTATTCTTGCTTACGTTGAGAGTCTATTTCAATCAGATATTCTACTTATAGAAATAAGTTATAATATACTGCCTCAATTATCGAAGATAATATTGCTAAATGAGAAAAAAAAAATTTCTTTATCATGGCCTAAATTGCTCCACCTATTGTGTTAAGACGTGGGATGTGAAAAACGGTACGTGAAAAATCAAAAGTTGAAGTGCTTGTTCTTATTGTCTATGTCTTGACATTATGAAGCTAGATCATCATGATAAAGTGGTCATGAAGAATTCCGATGATGTTATACCATAATATTAGTCCATTGAGTGAACTCGAGTGCCCATAGTTTTTTGTTGGTTAGATAAAATTTACATCGTGAGCCACTCCGAAGTTTGTAAAAGTGCTGCTCCTTAGTCCTTCTTGAAGCCACATGATCTACCCCGTTGAATGGAAATTGAGATATTTGAAGCTTCCTCTATGTTTTTTGTCATCTAATCATAAGTTCTAAGATTGGTTTGAAAGCCACCAATTCAAAGAATTCCAACAGTTCAAAGAAATATACATACAAATGCACTGACTCTAATCAAATGACTCAAAAGTTGTTGCTTTTAACATATTGAATATCTAGATTGGTGGGACCCAACATGACTTAAAATTCCATGTGGTTTTCTATTGCTATAGAAGTTCAAATAAAGGAAGAAATGCCTTTAATACATACTGACACGAGCATTTGTCATCAAGGCAAATATTGGAGTTAAAATTTTCATCACTTCTACACTTGTTTTAAATGGTCGATGTATAATTGATTTAAGTCTAATTAATCATATGACATTTATTGTTTGACAAGTTTTAAACCTTAACCCATTTTTCTAAAATTTTGACTCCACGATCAATGGTGATTTTTGTGTAATTAGTCTTAGTTTTTGGTGAAGGGTCCTCAAACCTTGTTAATTTTTAAGCCTTGAGTCTATGTTAGTTGGTCCCTCATATTATAACTTTTTGTTTGTTTCTGAAATAACTACCATCTTTTTTTTGTTTTATTTTTTGTACATGATCATTGTGTTCTTAAGGACACTCAAATTTGGCGAATGATAGGTTATGGTGTCAAGAGAGGGAAGCTACATTACTTAGCTTAGAATTAAGATCATCTTGTAGATTATAATGAGATTTAGCAATAACAAGACCGCATCTATCAAAGAAGATTTTTAAGACTTGACATTAGTATCGATATTTGGGTCATACCTTATTTGGTTATTTATTTATTAGAATTATATGAAATATGACTCTTAATAGGGCACAATGGAAAAAAATGATTCATGCTGTCAACCCCACTCAGTGGGATAAATGCTTGTTGTCATTGTTGTTGTTGTAGTCTACCAAATACCTGACATGCTTTAATGAAATAGAATTTGAAGATATGTATTAAAAGAAGCCATGTTTCAATGGAGAGGGGGAGATATTAAAGGCTGTATTTAACTCATACAAGATTAGATCTCACTTATGATTTGAGTATATTCAGCTATTTCATTCATAATCTTACTGAGCAATACATGAATGTTGCCATGTGCATTTGAGGTATCTAAAATCTACCATAGGAAAGACAATTTTATTATCTAAAATTACAACAACAACAACAACAACAACAACAACTTAATCCCACTATGTGGGGTCGGCTACATGAATCCTTTTTCTCCATTGCGTCCTATTTAGTGTCATATTTTCATTTAGTTCTAGTAAATTAAGATCATTTTTAATACAATAAGCCCAAGTCTTCCTAGGTCTACCTCTGCCTTTCTTAACACAAGTCGAATTTAAAACATCTACTCTCCTAATCGGATCATCTAATGGTCGACGTTTAATATGACCAAACCATCTAAGACGACTTTCTCTAATTTTGTCTGTCACAGGAGCTACACCAACCCTATCACGAATATATTCATTCCACATTTTGTCTCTAAGTGTAAAGCCACTCATCCACCTAATCATTCTCATCTAAGCAACACTTAACTTATTATTATGCTTCTCTTTTAAAGGCCAACATTCAACGCCATAGAGCATTGCAGGTCTCACCACCGTCTTATAAAATTTTCCTTTCAGCCTTAGCGGTACTTTTCTATCACACAAAAGGCCCGAAGCATTCCTCCACTTCAACCAACCAACTTGAATTCTACTATTAACATCCCCATCTATATCACCATCGCTTTGGACAACGGACCCAAGATATCTAAATCGTTCACACCTTTTAATAATTTGATCACCCAAAGTCACACTTCTGTCACTAGAGCTATTACTACTAAAATTACATTCCATGTATTCAATTTTAGTTCTACTCAAATGAAGGCCTTTAGACTCCAATGTAGACCTCCATAATTCAA